AAACACACAGAAATTTATCACCTATCCCCTGTGAGTGCGAGGGCGCGAACACACACATCACAGATATATACCACACACATCATATACACACACAAATACACACACCTCTTTCAATGATTATTCTAACTCTGTTACGGTGATGGGAATAGGGAGGGATGGAGGTAGAAGTTGACTGAGGAAGAGAAGATAAGGTGAGAAAGGCTGTTGCCTTTAGAACCTAGGATGGCTTTATTGATCTGAGCTGGGCTCAAGATGGGATGTGGTCTGCTCCCCTGATGTCTGGGAAAAAGAGAGCTCTTAGCACTCTGCAGGCCAACCTCCCTCTGCTTCTCCGAGCCCATCACCCAGCACAACGGATACTGCCTGTTAACAGGTTTCTGCTGGATCTTCCAATTTCCACAGCCATGACCTTGGGGGAGCCCTGCTCTCCTTTATAATTCCAGTCTCATAAGGATGAAATTATTCCCTGGTTTCCTCTGAACACCAGTGAGATGGGATGGGATTTTCAAGGACAGGACCCAAACTCAGGTGGCCAAGAGCCAGAATCACTGGCTCACTTTCCAGAATCCCAGCCCCACATCCAGGACCACGCTGGTTCTGAGCTCCGCTCTCAGCCCCTTCCACCTTTCACATCCTCCAGTTCTGCCTTCTCCCTTATCGGGAGCTCCTGGCTTCCCCAGCAAGGACACCGCATCCTGGTCTCGAAGACCTTCCTGGGAAAGCCAGGGGTGGTCAGGGGCCGGCACTCCCTCGTTCTCCACTTTTATATCCACAATGCAACTCCGGGGTCCTCTCAGCAGCAGGACGGGATTCAGGGTAAATAACTGCTCTGGTTAATCATTTGTGTAGGATTTGGTATCTCCAGACCCCTTAACCAGACGTGCACTCATTCACCACAGCTCCCTCTTCAGCTCCATTTCACAGAGGAAGAAACTGAGGTCCAGAGAGGTGAAGCAACCAGCTCAAGGTCACACAGCGGTTAAGTGGCAGAGCCAGGGCAGGGACCCAGGGCTGTCCGTCTGAATGCCCTTTGCATCCTTAGGACTCTCTGCCCCTTGGCCTCTCTCTTGATGGTGAAACTGTGCTTAAATGCAGGTGAGGGGCAGGAGGGGAAACAAGGCCACAGGCTCAAGAGCTGGCTCTCAGGAATGGGGCCAAGATTCCTTCGAGTTAATTCACCTCCTCTCACAGGGCTGACCTCATAAATATCATTAGGCTCTGCAGCCTCCACCCAGCCTGCTCGGGCTCTGGACGTGAGGAACTCTGAATCCTGTTCCCGGCCACAGCAGGTGGAAATAGCGTGAACTAATGAAATATCACCAGCGAAGCTAACAGCTGAATGCCTGTCTCCTGGCAGACGGCAGCTAGGAGACTGCTGACCCACACACACTGGCCTCCTTCCCTCCACCAGCTGGGAGGCCAGAGCGGGCTTTGCGGAGAGCACTGGACAGGGATGGAGGCAGACAGACCAGGCTCTGGTCTCTGCGTGCTGTGTGCCCTTGGGCAAGTGACTTGACTTCTCTGAACTTCCATGTTTCCCTCTGTAAAAAGAGGACAGTGGGATCTACTTCAATAACATACACTTAGAAATGCTCAGCTGAAAGCCAGAGACAGTTTGGGGACCCAGGGGATGGAAGAGGAGGGGGAAATGTGGGGATGTAACATCTATCTGTCTACCCAGCTGCCTCATCACCACTCGGAGTGAGAAACTCTGAAGGTTGGAGCAAATTCCCCTGGGCGCTGCTGCTGCCTTTAAGCAGGGGCCCAAGGGGGTGGCAGTAGCTGCCTGTTAGGCCTCACCAGGGACGGGATGGGATGGGAGATCTCAAGCTAAGAAAGGCCACTTGGGGCCCCAGAGAGAATCATTCTCTAGAAGTTTGATGTATACTGTCATCAAACTCACCAAGGACTTGGGACGCAAACCTCCCTAGTGCCTGGCATGCTTGGGCGCCCCCCCACAGACTCAATGAATAGCTCATGGCTTTGACCACCCAGAATTCCCTACCTCCTCCCCCTGCAGTTGCAATGGTGTAGACTTGAAGGTGCCTTGCAGCCCAGGCCTGGGCAACCCTTGCAATTGATGGTGACCGGTTCAGGGATTGTGTGCGGCCAAACTAGGCTAATCATAGCCAATTCTGGGAATTTTGATCTTAGGGCAAGGAACTCCCTTTGCCTCCATAGGAGTTGGACTTGAAAGTTTACAGCACTGCAGGGGAGGGCCATCTTGGAACCTCAGGGGACAGCCAGTGTGAGAAGGTAGCCAATGTAGCATAAGAAATAGAAAGAAACAGCATTTCCATGACAGTTGTTGAGTTCTGGATCAAGCCGTACCTGAAACTTCCTGGACTTACCAGTAACATGAGTCAATAAATCACCCTTTTTCCTTTTTTTGGGGGGGGGCATGGAATGTTTCTTTTTTAAACTGCAGTATAATTGATATACATTATATTAGTTTCAGGTGTACAACATAGGGTGATTCAATATTTGTACATACTGTGAAATGGTCACCACAATAAATCTATTTCACATCCATCACCATGCACAGTTACAGAATAAATCCAGCCTGGCTTTATGTAACTTATGGCCAAAAAAGGCCTGCCTGATAAACCCATTCTCTGGCATCAAGGCCCTTGTAAAATCAAATTAATGAAGTGATGGCTGTTTGAATTAGCACAAATTCCGAGCGAAAAAAATCCAAAACAAACAAACAAACAAAACCCCAAAAAACCCTAGATGTTTCAAGATATTCTATTCAGGCTGTAGGACATCCCTACCCTACATCAAGTGTTGTGGGGTGGGGTGGGGGAAATGCTTCAGGATTGGGAAGACTTGAGTTTAAATCCTAGCCATCTCACGTACTAGCCATGTGACCTTGGGCTAGTCACTAAGCCTCTCTGAGCTTCTATTTCTTCAAATCTCTGATGGTTACAATGAGAGCAAAATGAAGTATAAAGCATAAAGTACACAGTAGGTCTTCAATTAATGCACGCTTACAACACGGTGCAGCCTATCTAGATTTGCTTAATTACAGGTACCCGAAGAAGACATGGGGACAGAGAGGAAGAATTCACTCATGGTGGGCACCACCCCAACATGTATCTTCTGTTCATCTTATCAAAAAGCAAATAGTAGATAGAAAAGAGCAAAGGCTTTGGGGTCAGAGAGACCTGGGTTTAAGTCCTACCTCTGCTCAGTGACCTTAGTCAAGTTACCTAACCTCTCTGAGCCTTGTTCCCTCATTAGTGAAATCCTGAAGGCAATTCCTACCTTATAAGGGGGATACGAAGATGAAAGCATGATGCAGTGTACATGGTACCCGGCATAGTACTCAGCAAACATGTGCGATTATTTTCCCAGGCCCTAGCCAGGAATCCTCCTCGAGGGCTGGTTCTCAAGACTGCCGCATTCCCACCCCTCTGAGCTCAGCCATGCCTGTGACTTCAACTCCTTGACCTCCCTGATGACCACCAAAGCTCTGTGCCCAGCCCAACATCTCTCCAGAGCTCAGAGCTCCTGGGCATCTCCACCAGAACCTCCTCCAGGCATCCCAAACCCCAGTGCAAGGTCCTGGCTCATCCACTACTCTTGATGTCATCTGGGTCTGTCACCTTGGCCTTGGTTTCCTCATCTATAGCGTGAGCAGGTTGTGACAAATCACTATGGAGGTTCTCCCAGCCCTAGCATCCTAGGACTCTCAACTGCAGCGTATCATGTCTCCAGCTTGGCACCACTTTCTCCCCACACTCGCCACCTTCAGAAGCACTACCGCCATTCTCCAGTGAACCCCAGCTTGAAAATTTAGAGTCAACCTGGCTTTGTCCAGCTAGCCCATCACAGTCCCCAAGCCTGGGAGAGTCTCCTCAGAGATGCTACCCTATCCATATTCTCCTCCCTGATGCCACTACCATCATCCTAGTCCAGACCCCTGGCACTCCACATCGGGCTCCAGCACCAGCTTCCCCTTCCAGTCCACCCTCTGCTCTTCCCATCTGTGGAGCCGACAGTCAATGGACCAGTGCAGCTTCCCTCTCTATCAGCCTCTGCATGGAGGCTGAGCCTCCTAACGTCACCATCAAGAACTGAAATGCACTGTTGACTGTGTCAGCGCCCTGGAGATTCTTTTTAAGGTTGGGGACGAGAAGAGGAAACTTTCATGGTGTTCATACTAGATACTCAGTAAATATGTGTTAAATTCCTTCATCCACTCATGTTTTTCAAAACACACCCTTTGGATGGTCATCTCCAGCCCAAGACAGACAACACCAGAGATTCCTTTACAAATCTCCTGAAAGCTGCGGGCCTTTGCATCTTTTTGCGTATAATTTCAGAGGGTTCACAGCACCCCATCCCATCTGTAGAGCCAAGTTTGCCCCAGAGTGAGCTCATTTTACTGATGGGAAGACTGAGATGCAAAGAGAAGAAGGAATTTGTCAGAGAACACAGAAAGCATGTCTTTCTGGCAGGCACTCGATCATCTTATGAGAGTGCTAGTCCTCTCCCGGCTCCAGGTCCATAGCTTTAAGTAGTAAATTGGGGAACCCTACCATCCCTGTGCTGTTTCCTCACCCATGCAAGAGGGACCAGGCCTGCACTGCAAGGTTGTAGTGAGAAGATGGTGGATGGATAGGAACCTAGCCCAGCCAGGTGCATGGAAGGCAATTCCTGATCCACTCCTCTGCTCATTTTCCTCTTCCTTTCCTTGTAGGATTTTGGAGGATGGAAACGTTACTGCCATCTAAAGTGATCACAGAAGGCTTCATGGAAGAGGCGAGCCCTGCCTGAGCCTCAATTTTTGGGTGCTGAAGGGAGGTAGGGGCCAAGGGTTATTAATAGGCCTGGCTCGATGGGCCCAGGGAGGGTGAATGTGATACAGACACTCAGCACCAGGGGTGGGGAGGACCTGACACCGGAAGGGGAGGGGGCCGGGGGCCGGGGGAAGCGCCACCTCCCAAAATAGCCAGAGCAGAAGCCTATATAGGTGGCCATCCCACCGCCAGGCTCATTTCCTGACAGGACCTCCCACCCGCCCAGCCTACAGTGCGGGTTCCAGCCCTCCACCCCCACCTAAGGTGAGTGGCAGCTACCGAGGTTGGAGGAGGATGGCAGCCCACAGCGGGGAAGGAGGCCAGCTGGAAGGGACAGCCACATGTCCCCTCCCCTCAGTGACACATGCTGGGGTGGTAGATACTGAGAGGTAGACAGCGATGGAGTCCAGGGCTAAGAGTGAGATTCCTGGGGTCTCCATCTTAATTCCCGATTAGGAGGTCCTGAGGCTAATCCCACCTGTAGAACGACAGGGGTAGAGCCAGGCATCTGTGGACTCAGGTGAGGAAGCCCACGCCTGGGCAGAAAAGGCAGGAGGAAGGGGTTGAGGGCTGATGGGCTGATCTGATGACATCATCAGGTGTGCTGGCTGGGTGGACTTCAGCCCAGAGAGGGTGTCAAGTTGATGGGAGGCTTCTGCAGCAGGGAGGGAAGGAGGAAGAAGGGAGAAGGATGGGTCTCTGTTGAGATTCCAGCCTCCGCCACAGGGGTCAGTGTTTGGGGACTCTCCAGGAGCCAGCTGGTGGCTCAGATAGGGACTTGATAGGGTTGCGTCCTGAGAACTGGAGGAGCTGCACGAAGCAGGTCGGTGAACTTGAAATTAGCAGACCTGGGAGTAGGCCCCTCTCGGCCACTGCCTCGCTGTGTGTTTTTAGACCATTCACTGACTCCCTCCGGCCTCAGTTTCCCTACCAGGATAGCACAAGGGTCCTTCAGCTGGGGAGGAGGCAGATTCTCTTCCTAGGCCCCTGGAGTGCCCTGAGCCCCGGCGTTGAAATGATAGCTTAGAAACCCAGCATCTCCAAGTTTACAGCCCAGCTGGAGGCAGGGGCGGCAGGGGCAGCTGAGGGGTCCCAAGCGAGAGAGATCAGGTTGGGAGCCGCAGCTTCTGCGCCTTGGAAGCCAGCTGGCGGGCTGTCACCTGAAGGAGCTGACTCACAGGGAAGGGGCCAGCCAAAGCCAGCATCATCCTAAGGTTTCCAGGAAGGGCAGCCGTCCAGGGCTGAGTTGAGGGAGACAGTGTTGACAGTGAGTGCGAGGGAACTTGAGCTAATGGGCAGCCTGGCAGCTCTTCCCAGCACTCCCATCAAGGGCCACTATCTCAGCCCCTGCCCACCTGCCCACACCTTAAGTTGGAGTCTCAAGATCCTCCCCCAGGGACCATCCATCCATACCATCAACACAGTGGAGGGAGACTGAAGCCCAGAGACGGGGAAGGTCACAACCCAAGGTCACTGAGGGACTTACTATAGCCCCAGATCTAGAACCCAGGCCTCCTGATTCCCTGTCTAGGGCTGTGCACACTCTGGAGGCAGCCGCGTGTAGCCTGAATCCTTAGGACACGGTGGGAAAGAATGCACCTGGTCTCCGCCTGCATAAAGATTAGGAAGTGTCACATTTCCCACAGATGATGTCCAGGCCATAAAACTTGCTTCCGTTGTCTCGACAGTGTGGGCTGAAGATGGCACCCTCTGCCCCAACATGGGCCTTCTGGTCTTCAAGTTGGCAGAGGGGGCATAGAGATTCCGAGTAGCCTCTCCCACCCTCCCCTCGCCCAAATGGTTTATATAGGGGTGGGGAGTCTGGACTGCACTGTACTCCTTGGCTCAGGAGCCCAGGAAAGCAAGCAGTAAATGGGGATCCCAGAGGGTTCTTAGAAAAGTCAGACTAAGAAAAAAATTTCAGTTTCAGTATGTGCGTCCCTGGACGGATGTAGAATGGGCACCCGCAGAGGGCCGTGGCAGCGCCGGCTTATCAGTGTTACCCCTCCCAGCGTCCCATGGGTCAGGTTTCCAGACCTCAGCGTTCGGATTTTCAGCATAAATTTGCATGCACGACAGAAAGAGCGGAGGCTGAGGTAGGAGTGGAGAGAGAATAGGAGGTGGGCCAAGAGGCCCACGAGGGTGTAGCCCTGGTCCCTGCCAGTCCAGTATCCTCCCCAAAGCGGCAGGACATTCTCGGAGGTGCGCGGATGAGACGCCCTGCGCTGGCTGCACCAGGCTGGCGCCTCCTGTGTGCCCTTGACGGCAGGAGAACCCTGCAGACCTGGCTGGTGGCGCGGGCGCCCCGTAAATTTCAGAGGCCGCCCCAACCCCCGGGGCCCGGGCCGCAATCCCAGGGACCCCCGGCAGGGCGAGGCGGGGTGGGGGGCGGGAGCTGCAGCGGGACAGC